AGACGCCCTTAGACTTGACTTAACTATATTATACCCTACGGAGGAATTTTCTTAGATGCTGTTTGTTTTCTTAAGAAAACCTCTTCAAACCACTTTCTGCTGTGCGGCGCAACATACATCCAACACTTTCGCTCTTGCAACAGTTTGTTTTTTGGAAGGCTTCAAACTACAAAATCTCTGTGTGTGTACTGCGTGACGCAACACTTGACTTGACTTTTCAAACCTCTTCAGTTTTTATTATTATTATTATTATTTTTTTAAATTTTGGTATAACTTATTATTATTATTTTTAACCTTTTTTTTACAACTTTGATTTTTTTAAACTTTTATCTATGGATTTGATACAATTTCTTTTTATAGTTTCCATAATTTTTTTAACTTGATTTTTTAATTTTTTTTTTTTTTTTTTTTTTTTTTTTTTTTTTTTTTACCGTTTCTTTTAATATTTTTAGTTTCAGTTGCATCTTTCTTATCGTGTGTAATTTTTTACGAACTTTGTAGACATCGTTTGCAATATTTTCTTAATTTTTTTTATGTTGTTTAAAAATAGTTTTTTTTTTCTAGAATAAAATTGTTAGCTTCTTTTATATTTTTGTAAGGTTTTTTGTAAAGTTTTATATTTTTGTTTTTTTACATGTTTTTTTAGTATTCTATCAATGTTTTAAGATTAAAATTATTAAAATTTCGGTGTTGAGAACTATTTTCAGTTTATAAAATTAGTTTGTTTAAATTTCAGTTTACTGCAACAGTATACAGATGTTAAAAAACAAACATGCTTCTTATTATAAGCTGCAGTCGTTTGTTCCACATCTCCAGTCAGTAGATGTATGCGACTTTTATTATACATTATATTATATATTATATATTATTTTGTGAAAATATGTTAGTATTTCTTTTGTGAATCAAATTATTTTTTAATAATATAAAATTTTATATTGTTTCACCTCTATGTATTCTTTCCAACGATTTATTATAGAATCAAACTAATGCCTGGTATATGGAATTATGGATAGATACGCGATTAAATAATTTCTTTCGAGCTGGAAATGTTGCCGTGAATTATTATAGAAACCTGGAAACCGATAACTGCAGAATAAGTGCATCGCTTTGCCTTAGAAATTTGTTAATCGCTTCATCACGGGAACCCGATATTATCGTTCCAACTTTCGCATTTCGAGAGCAATTGCAGATCGCCATTCCAGAAAAATTAACAATAGCAGATCCATCTGCGTATCGTCATCGTCTTCTTCGACCCTAATCCCCCTGATTCAATTCATAGAAAGGTTGGCCATTTCATCTACATATTCTTTCTTTTACCAACTGCATGATCATGTTAATCTCTGTATGAATTGTCATTTTTGGGGGGTTAGGGTTTATATACACCAAATTTTGAGCGATTTTTTCATAACGTCACTTGAAAAAACTTCATCGTATTCAAAACCCTGGAAATTTATATTTGTTATTTTTTATATCCTTTATTTTCTAATTGCTTTGGCATCAAGTTAGCACATAGGGATGTGCTGGTGATTTTTCATTAATCGATCGTTACTCTTGGTTTAATCTGGATTTCAGGGGGAACAGGGGTGTGTATTGGGAAAGGAAAAATGGGACCAATATACTATATATTAGTGGCGCTTCCTTGCACGATTGGGGCAATTGCATTGGTGCTTCTTCACATTTACCGACATCTTTTGAATTACACTGAACCCACGTATCAACGTTATATTGTCCGCATCATTTTTATGGTTCCTGTGAGTTTTTATTCCTTTCTTTTTTGATCAGCTAATTGTAAAATATTTACATGAGTTGTGGTAAGAGATTATTTCTTTCTGCATGAAAAGCAGTGCTATCTAAGACCTGTCACTACTCACTACTAATCCCTTAATTCCTGACTGATGATGAAGATGTTTTGGTTAAAATTTGGATAGTTTTGGACCTTTTTCTTGTCATTTCATGTTGAAGTAATATTGTCATTCAATTCTATAATAGAACAGTGTTAAAAATGGCTTTGTTCTTTAGTGACTCGGACGATTCAAATGACACATTTATGGCTACTTGTCTCTACCATGTATGGTGTTTTTTGCTTCTTACTATAGTATAGTATCACTGCACATCTTACAAAATTTGCATTTCTGAACTCCATCGTTTTTTACCCAACCAACGATGTATTAAAGGTGTCTTCATCCCCATAGAAAATGAAAGATTACAAAAAGATCAAATATAGTAAGACAAACACCTCACACAAGTTAGTAGGTAAACTATGATAGTGTAGCTAAAATCTGGCATGCCAGCAAGCATTTTGGGTTATGTAGAATTGTAGATTGTGATGGTGATCATCGTAGATGTATGAGTTGATTGTAGTCAGCAACTTCTTCCTTTCTCTAGAAGTAGGGACTTTGATTTTGCCTTTTAGATCCTGTTACTTCAGTTATTTGGAGGTACTTATTAAGCTGTTTGCTATTCTGTTTGACAACCTCTAGAACTAAAGTTGGTTTGATTTTCTTTAGGAGTTCTAACAAGTTCAAGATCCTTTTTCAGTATGGAATTAGCTCTTTATTCTTGCTATTGGAATTATTGATTTGAAAGAACAGCATCTACTTTATGCTAGTTAAAATGATGCCCCCATAGAAATGGATGGTTAATCAATGTTCTCCTCAGCTGTCAGAGGAGGGCTCTGTTCATGTGACAAGTTATTTGGAGGCACAAAGCTCACAGATCACTATAGAAATAGGTTATTATTACTCTATGTATCCATTGAGGACTATTTTGCTAGTATTAGAAAACCAGTCCTAAATTTAGTATAAAATTGAGCTAAAAGTAAAGAATACATATCTTGTAATAGATGAAAGATATCCCCTACGAATTATATATGCAGATTCTAGTTACTATTTGCTAATACTATGAAGAATTAAATGCTTCTTCTACATACAGAATACTCCCTACACCCCAAAAAATTGCAACATTTTCCATTTTGGGATGTCCCCATTCTAAAGAAACGCAACAATTTGTTTTTTTGTATATTTTCAATCCTTTGTATACTCTTTTTAAATAGTCATTAGAGAAATTAGCAGCGTTAATTGCAGGTCACATGTTTATTTGTGCTTGTTGAAGGGCATGGTTTCCATATAGTTAAGGAATAATGTCATGAAATAGTAACCAAGTTTGTTCCATGGTTCCACCTAGGTCCTCAAACTTTTTTTTGAAGAGATTTAACCACTCAGGTTTCCTTTTTGTTCAACTTATGTGAAATCAGGTAACTTGTTTGACCGTTTTGACTAATGGCTTGACAATGACGTGGCAGGTGGCATGGCAATGACGTAGCAACCCTTAACAATTTCATTAAATAATAACCAAATTTCTGTTTTGTTCCACCTAGGTACCTCAAATCTTTTTCTAAGAGGTTTAACCATTGAAGTTTAAGTTCTGTTCAATCTTTCCTAATAGAAATTTCAGAAATGTTTTCAAATAGTTGTTTGTACAAAGGTTGGGCAGGAGCACTACAGTAATAGCAACCATAAATAGGATCTGAGGCTTGGTTAGTATTTAGTGACATTGACCCTTAAATTAATAGTCATTAGTCAAACATTTTGTTAAACCATGTGTTAAGTCCATAATTGTCCCTTTTAGGGATGGAGGGAGTATATTGGTATGCATAAATCTCTGATAATATAGGTAACATACCTACTATCAACTCAAATCCCATTAATTAGGTTAGTTAGAAATTTATACCTTTATCCAGAATTAGACTCACTTATGGTTATGGATTTTCACCTCCAAACTTTAGGCAGATTCGACAGATGGCCTGCCTAATTCTACCCTCTTGAGTTTTTGCATGTATTACTACTAATCTTACCTGTAATTCTAAGTGTTGCTGTTTTGATTTTTCTTTATCTTTATTCATTGATGTTGAATATTTTCCCTTGTTTCTGTGGTTTTCCTGCATCTTACAATGAGTTGTTTATTTGCAGGTTTATGCATTGATGTCTTTCTTGTCGCTTGTATTCAATAAGAGCTCAATCTATTTCAATTCTATTCGAGAAGTGTGAGTATTCAATGCCTAATTTTGGGAAAAAAAAACTGTATGAAAGCAATCTGTCATTATTTCCGATACGTCCTTTCCCTTTTTCCTAATTTGGATTCTTTGTCAGAAAAGCTAGTTTTTTGGTTGATAAGACTGAACTTGTAAATACTGATTTGCATTTTTGAGTAGATACTTTCTTCTTTTAATTGGCTTTTTCAATGTTCATAATTTAACTACAGGTATGAAGCTTGGGTTATATACAACTTTCTGTCACTGTGTCTGGCATGGGTAGGTGGTCCAGGTGCTGTTGTTTTAAGCCTTACTGGACGCTCTCTTAAGTCAAATTGGTGTTTGATGACATGTTGCTTCCCTCCTATTCCACTAGATGGGTGAGAGTTCAATCATCATGAGACTATCTTTCTGTTTCTGTTTCTGTTTATGTTTATGTTGTAGTGTAGTGGTTTATGCATGATGACAAGACAGTTATGTATTTTTTTCTTTGTGCAGGCGATTTATAAGGAGATGCAAACAAGGGTGTTTACAGTTTGTGATTCTAAAACCTATATTGGTGGCAGTTACTTTTCTACTTTATTCACAAGGAAAATACAATGATGGAAATTTCAGCGTGGCACAATCCTACTTATATCTCACCATTATATACACCATTTCTTACAGTCTGGCACTCTATGCTTTGGCCTTGTTTTACATGGCATGCAGGGATTTGCTCCAGC